CTTATCCAGAGAGCTGGGTCTTCATATAATATGCCCAAAATAGGATAGTTGAGCCTGGTCATTTGTGCCTTGAGTGAGAATGCTTGGTTGATTCATTCAATGATCCATTGGTGTTTTTGGTTGCCCTGGGATTCTTGGCACTATCTATTTGGTGTTTTTGGTTGCCCTGGGATTCTTGGCACTATCTATCTATCTATCTATCTATCTATCTATCTATCTATCTATCTATCTATCTATCTATCTATCTATCTATCTATCTATCTATCTATCTATCTATCTATCTATCTACCTACCTACCTACCTACCTACCTACCTATCTCTAGCTATCTAGCTATCTATCCATCCACAAAAACATTTCAAAAGCATTTCTATAAAATTTCCAGTTTTATTTTACAATAATTACTGTTGCAGAACAAAATGTCTAAAACTAAAGAGTGAAAGAAGTAAGGGTATAAATATCTTGAACATTAAACTACCAAGAGAAGACAAAAAGGCAAAAGATCAAGAGGAAAAGGTATAGCATAACCTCACCCTTGTGTTTACGTTAAGCATTCCCATTAAACATCATAAAATTCTTATTGATCAGGATTTTGAAGCAATACATGGAACCAGGAAGGTTAACTGTTTCCTTTTAAGAAGTCTATGTTTTGAAGCACTATTCACAGATTTTATCTGACACAAAAAGCTGTAGTTACATCTGGAATGAACTATGTTTCCCTTCTAATGTTCAAAAAAGTAGGAATTTTATATCTCGTACATTTAAAAGATGCTAATTTCCCAAATGTGCCAAGGAGAAAAGGAATGTATTGCTAAAAAAATGTGTACTTTGTTTATGCATGGCCTGACAATAAAATCTACTGCAGCAACTTTAAAATAGTGGATATTCTTACTCATGTTACATAGATGGTATAAAAAGCACCATAATGCTTCTCTTTTCCATTTTAATTGAGTAGTTTTATTGTAATAAATAAACTCTGTGCCACACACATCACTGGCCTTTTTTTTTAGATCACCATGAATGGCAGAATACCCACTCTCCTATTCCACGAGTCTCCTACATTGGATCAAGTGAAATTTATGTAATTCTCATCAACATTGGAAATAAAAATTCCACCGCCTCTTGTTAGAGAGCTGCACAACTTGGTCTCCGCAATGTCTGAGATGTTTCAATCGTTTGATGTTAAATTTCAAAATAGATGTGATCAAGTGATGCAACAACAACAGGACTTATTACAACGGCAAGATTTATCACAGAAACAGGAGGATTTTTGTTTGAATGCTACAATTGCTTCTCAAGATCTGGTTGAA